CTAGAAGAAAAATATCTAACTGTACGCAAATAACGTGCAAGGTTTGTGCCAAAAAAATAGATATTATGCAACCAAAATTCCTGCAACCCCCCCTCCCCTTCCCCCCATCAATTATCTGATGGTCCATCCCTAACCTCACATCACGGCACCAAACGTTACCTAACATCGCATCAACACACTAAAAAACTGTAAGATGTTACTACATCATGTCACGACACACCACAGCAACTTAACATCAACTATACTCACCACAACAAGAAAATGCAAGTCAGTTATTGCATTTTACATACATTGTCATTTAATTCAAAAAAACTCAACCATTTTCCTGTAACTCCTTTACTAGAACCGGCCTTTGGTTTAGCGCAAAACAATCCTGCCAAATCCTGTTTGGAGATATTGAATAAAGGTAGTTCCATTGGCACAGGCGTGTACTGGATAGACCCGGCTAACACAGGAACCCCAATGCAAGCTTACTGTGACATGACAACTGATAGAGGTAGGTCAATATCCTTTTTTTAAGGGGGTCCATCAGGTACTGAATGAATGAAACATGAGGTCAAAGGGGGTCCAGATACTGGATGAATGAGACATGAGGTCAAAGGGGGTCCAGATACTGAATGAATGAAACATGAGGTCAAAGGGGGTCCAGATACTGGATGAATGAGACAYGAGGTCAAAGGGGGTCCTGATACTGAATGAATGGAACATGAGGTCTAAGGGGGTCCTGATACTGAATGAATGGAACATGAGATCAAAGGGGGTCCAGATACTGAATGAATGGAACATGAGATCAAAGGGGATCCAGATACTGAATGAATGGAACATGAGGTCTAAGGGGGTCCAGATACTGAATGAATGAAACATGAGGTCAAAGGGGGTCCAGATACTGGATGAATGAAACATGAGGTCAAAGGGGGTCCAGATACTGGATGAATGAGACATGAGGTCAAAGGGGGTCCAGATACTGAATGAGACATGAGGTCTAAGGGGGTCCAGATACTGATTGAATGGAACATGAGGTCAAAGGGGGTCCAGATACTGAATGAGACATGAGGTCAAAGGGGGTCCAGATACTGAATGAGACATGAGGTCAAAGGGGATCCAGATACTGAATGAGTAAAGAAGCCAAGATAGGAAATTGCATGGTTTTTGATAAAAAATTAATACGCAGCCCGTAAACGGTCCTCCACTGGTTATGAATGTGAAGCGCATTGAGATATTTGAAATGCACTATATAAGCACCCATTATTATTAAAAGAATATCATCACCTTGTTAACACAGGAGGCTGGACAATCGTAAAGAGGAATATCTTACAAACGACAAGCGCAATTATCGAAAAAAACGATTATGCGGACATGAATGTCATTGCCACTTACGACCTGAACAGCGAATGGGTTGCACCTAAAGTGCAAGCAATGCTGGATATCAAGAACAAGATGGGATTCCAACAGATTCATTTCTATTGTCACAAGAAATCCGTGGGTAGAGTAGTGAGTATCATGACCAAGAACGACACCGCTGGACAAGCTGTAGTGAGTTACTTTACCGGCCCGGCATCACCGTCATCTTTCCCCAGAGCTTGTGGTTCATTTGATAGACTGCCTGAGGATACATCTATTCTGAGCCAGAATTGTAATAAATGGGGAACCGCGAGAGCTCCTCCTGATACTCAACCTGTTAGCTGGGTCGACCAATGGGGTTTCCAAAATCACGAAGGACCAAAGCGCCCTGGTTTGATGCCTTTTGCAATGGATTTACCTCCAAGATACTTTTATGGCACCAGTAGATATAACGATGATGGTATTGGATACAGAAACCTTTGTGACGATAATTATTTAACACCAGCACCATACAGTATAGGAGATATCTGGCAGATCTCCGTGCGCTGATTTCATTCATTCCTGATATCGGTAAGGATAAATACCTAAAAATAAATACTTCTTGATTATCAATTAACGTTCAAATTATTTGGTGTTTGTTCACGAAGTCATCTGGAGACTTTTTGATTTTGATTTGGAGAATATGAAAGCCAAAAAATCTTTATAAGGGCCAAGTATTATTACGAATAACCATCCGCGGTCATTTGCCTCTACTAAAAGCAAATCTCCTCGCGCTGTAATTTTTGGACATTTTTCTCTCGGTTGTGTGTGAAATCTCATATGGGTGTCTTTATTTATTTTGGTAACGTTAGGTAAACACAACCTGCTATGCATGTTCAGTAAAGAGAATTTCAAAAAACTCTATTTTAAATGTGAACTGATTGACAATAATTTTGATATTTTTTCGTAATTTTTCTGTTTCAGACAAAACTGACCACTTGGAATTCATATGGAAACAGAGCGTGATGCAAAARACGTCATTTGTCGGGTGATCAGAATCTTATCAAGAAATGCGAAGTATCAACTCGATCTTATCCCCTCCTTGTAGTGGCCCATATAGGGACATGCAGCATGTTAGACGAGTTGCAGCATGTTATACGAGGTGCTTATTTCTTATTTGCAGCAACTCGTCTAACATGCAACAACTCGTTTCTTATTTGCAGCAATTCGTCTAACATGCAGCAACTCGTCTAATTTGCTGTATAGTATCCCCTGTGGTCCTCCGTACCTCTTCCTCCTTCATATTCCTTTGCAAACCCTTGAACAATTAATCAGGGACATTACCCGAGAAATGGTAAAGGGAGGAGGATTCATTAATTTTCGGTAGATTTGTTTAATTTGACAGACGTAGAAAGTTATTGATCTTTTTTACCCTGTGCCAGAACAAAACGATTCACGTTACATTTTGCTGGCCTATTGCATTGTCTGTTTTTGGCATGCATTTTACGAAATCACAAGCTAAATATGACCACAATCTAATACAAGAAAGCTAAAGCCTTTGTTTTATAGATATATAGGAGCTGGCCTTTAGGGGAAAGATGTTGATACTTCGCAGTGATCGAATAGAAGGCAACTTATTAATTTAGAGGAGCAGAGAGGAGTGAGGTTGTTGCAGATTGGCGAGCATGCTTACATGTTCAAACAAACGTTTTTCTGATCTATTACCAATTCAGCTGTCAAGTCTTTGTTCCCACACTGCTTGCATAAATTTACGTGCCTACTTTACCCCACCTGAAGATTAGCAATTCTCTACTGGTACCCTATTAAACCGACCCAACGACAATTTTGCACCAATCTCCTTCCTTTGTTTAGTTTAACTGCTCCCTAATTTTATATTATTTCTTTTTTTCATATCGTATAGAAGTAAAGATAAAATATGAGCAAAAAGATCATCATAAGGCATTTTATAATACACTCAACAAAATTACTCATTTCTGATTGGACAAGAGGAATACAATTAAATCTCAAATTGTACTCTGTATAGAGTCCCTATTAAGTTGCTACTGAATTTTGTTGAGTGTATCATAAACAAAAAATCGCACAATATCTTCTCGGAATTTATAGATACTCGTGTTGTTTTGAAAGTTCTCAAATTGGACTCGCCTATAAGCTCTTCCAATTATAAAAACTTTCAAAACATCACTCGTACCTATAAATTCCGAATTGTACTCGAGATCGTACGATTTCCTATAGAACTTAAAATTGGCAAGCTTCAGGCTCACTATATGTTAATGGCGGTCGGACGCGAATTCGTATTTTTAACTTATCAAATGTACTGGATGCAATATAACTTTGTTTTCTTAAACTTCGAACTAGAAAATTTAGGATTCGTTTTCGCGGGCTTCCTGTGCTAAACAGCCTCTTCTCCAGTCTTTTCTTGGACTAAAAACRAAATGGTCGACCTGGAAATATGTTTTCACTCGAATTTCTGTAAGTTTGTCCTGTTTCGATTATGATTTCTCGTTTATTTTTCATGGATTTTGTATTTGTTTTGATAGAAGCCATTTTGGTTGAATTTTCCTTAGATTTATCATTAGTCTGTTTTGTTATATCAACCAACATGGCTGCCGTGTCTTACTATATTGTATATAAGAGCAAGAGAAGATTTTTTCTTGATTATAGTTAATTGGATAACATGAAAGTCAATTGCCGAACTAAGATCATCCTCACAATCTGAGGTGGTAACTCAGGTGGGCATTCAAACAAACACCACATCCAAAGGACGAGGAGTCTCGTCAATAAGAAAATCAGTCCAACGAAAATCCTTGGGACCTTTCAAAAATGACCATCATCGGAAGAGTAAGGAGCATTTAAAAATCCTGGGGAAACTTTTTGAAAATGACCATATCGTCCAAAAGTTAAGGAGCAAAGCGGTAACGTTTGGAGTAGCGAAGGGAAAAAGCATCTTTCGCTGAGGAAGGATGTGGTATTCGCAAGCCAAATGGCCATTCCGCCACGGATGGAAAAAATCTGTCCTTGTTTTTTTTACGAGAGTAACACTTAATGGTTGCTAACAAACCTTTGGCCTTCGTTCCATAATCGAATTGGAATTTAGGAGTTGATTTTTGCAGACGCCTCCTTGGCATCTTTATCTTCAGTGCACTGGTAACATCAATAGCCATATTGATAATCATTCTTATCTCAAAGTTTCACTAATCTTCGATCACGGGGGGAAAGAGGCCACATTGGGCCATACTCTATCACCATTCTTGTCTAGCCTTCGAAGAAAATTCCGGATGTGACGCAGGCTATTCTTGTCTTGCAAGATACGAAAATTTAAACACGAACGTTACCTACTTCGGCCCTATATTTTTTCTTGGTCATGTTGCTCGATTCGCGATCACTCGGGCATCAAAACATCCTGCGGCATTTGAAAGCACACCTAAAACTCGATTAGTACACAGAGTTCTTCAATTCGGCATAGCATTATAAACTAAGGATAAAAAGTAAAAGATTTTGCTATTGCATAGTGCATAAATCACTTATTTTCAATCACACTCTTCAAGCTAGCGAAATTGCTAATATTCATGAATCCTCGAATCTTAAATATTTCTGCTATAATCAGCTACAGTCATTTCAAATGAACTGTGTTCAAGTATAAGGGTAAGTTTACGTTTTTTAACGCTGGGGAATTTATAAAACTTCTTTTTAAAAGCCACTAATTTCAGCATCTAGAATTTAAGATTTCATGTCCTTTATATTCCCAGAGCAGTTAAATACTTCAGTTTCTAGTTCTCAGTTGCTCAGGGTTGGACTCGGTTTCCTGCAGAATATTCACGTTCCAGTAAAGGTCCATGAAACTTCTACCCTGCGAGCAGAGTCTCTACGGGCGAGAGGAGTGAAAAGGAGACTCTGCTCGCAGGGTATGGAACTTCAAAATGTTTATTGTTGAAGTTGTGCATTCTTTACTTTACCGTTGGTATTTGTGAATATATTTAGACACCTATTCAAGGCTAACTCTGTGCAAATGAGTCTGTAATCAAGGAACACAGCAGTAATTTGGAACTCAAGAAGGTCTATTCGGAGGACAAGGGCAATAGAAATTAACTCTCATGAGAATTAAAATCCATTGATTTATCCTTCAAATAGATTTAAGGGGTCTATATATATATATAGATTTTTGGATACACTTATTTCAATAAAGTTAGTCACCAAAAAACCTAGAAAGCTGAGATCACAGAGGATCATGGGAAACTTTTAATATCAAAAAAGAAAAGCCTTTGATACAATTTGCAGCTTGAGAATGCTCAGAAGAGGTGAGACTGTAACTGGTAAAAGATCTAAAATCCATCAACAGTTATTAAAGCGGTTAAAACATGTAAAATGCAACTACCCATAATCCTTGTTGGTCTCAGCTTTGTAGCTTTTCAGGCGACTAACTTTATTGAAATAAGTGTATGTAAGAAAATATGTTACAAACCACAAAAGCAGATCAATAAACACTTCCGGGAATTAAACATTGTAGTAAACACTATTTGGTTACTAAAACGCTATCACAGTCCACGAGATAGTTCGCGGATTACCATAACAAAGGTTACTAGTCTCGTGGTTGTGTCACGTGTTATGTGAAACGTCACCTGATTTGTTGAAGGACAAATGGATTGCTGGAGGTCATGTGATCTGCTTAGGGTCACATGATCTGTTAAGCATAATATCATGTGGAACGTCAATTAATTTGTTGAAGCACACACGACTTGTTTTGGGTAACATAATTTGTCAAAAGTCACAAAACATTTTAAAGCCCACATGATTTATTGAGAGTCACACCACATTTTGGAGGTCACATGATATATTGAGTCACATGACTTGTTGAAGGTCACATGGCTTGTGTCACATGATCTGTTGAAGGCCACATGACTTGTGTCACATGATCTGTTGAAGGCCACATGACTTGTGTCACATGATCTGTAGAAGGTCACATGACTTGTGTCACATGATCTGTTGAAGGTCACATGACTTGTGTCACATGATCTGTTGAAGGCCACATGACTTTTTGTAGGTCACATGATTTTCTGGAGAAGACTAATAGTAGCTAAAAGTCACATGACTTGTGACGTCATTCACCAGATGAATCATCATTACTACAACTACTGCTAGCCTCGCTACATGAAGAACTGGATAAATCAAACTTTCTTCTTGTCCCCATCCCAAAGCCAGCACTTGCAAGATCTTTGCTGGGATCAATGCATTTATAGTCCCCAGTCGATGACTCTGATACATTTCTGTGGGTGTATCTGAATGGCAACAATGGCATTCGGCGTGCAACTGAGTTACAGCTAAACAAGCTGTTCTTCTCTGGTTGATATCCAGTCTGACTTGAATTTTTTCCATTAACATCAGTAGAAATTTGATTGAAGTCTTTGTCTTTTCCAGGAAGGTTAAATCTGGGACCATTGCCTGCTAATRTCCTAATTGTTTTAGTGCCATTTATAGTAGCACTATCATTAGTTCTGTCATTCTTTCTAAAATTTCTTTCTGGAAATAAAGTTCTTTTTGTCATGGAGTCAGAAACCGAATTTTGAGCAAAAGTATTACTTGTGTCCTCATTTTTACTAATGTCCTTATCTTCAGGTTTTCCAGTAAGAGAATGGAATTTCCTAGCATTATCTAAAGTTTCATTCGTTTTAATAGGAGTAGGTTGTTTAAGACTTGGTGTACTTGAAATAGGGTTTTCGCTTTCCAAGTCATGTTCTTCTTTGCCCTCCCATATTCTGTTTTCCTTTTCAACGATATTATTCATAGCATCTGTCCAATCTAGGAGTTTAACGAGTCGCTTGATGCCGGTAATAACATCTCCTTTCAAGACAACATCATTACGTCGTCCTCCCCATGGACTTGCAAAAGGTCCAACTACCTCTCTGTTTATCAAGAGTCTTGGAGTAGAGCGACTTACCTCGCTCACTATTCCTGCAAAGGGTTGAACCTGAGGAAAGGTTGAAAAAAATATTGGTCACCATTTGATTTGATATTGATTTACAATACAATTTGATAAAGTACAAACACTAAAAGTGTGCAACACTTTGCACTATTTAGTAGTAAATAGTGCTAATTAAACAATAGAAAACAATAGGATTAGCATTAATTAGCAGTATTTAGTGGTATTTATGTTACACACATATAGTGTTTGTACTCTATGTCAAAGGTTGATTGACTTTAAGATGTGCAAATGAATATATATACTACAAACAAATGTCAATAGTCCCTTTCACAGTTTCCTGTGCCATCTTGAAAGGTAGCCATGCCTTTGTATTGAAGTGAGATGAACGGTGAGCTGGCAGTGATAGATACCTTTTTTAACACCTTGGACAATTATTCGCATGTCTCTATCATTGCCAGCTCACCGTTCATCTCGCTTCGATGCAAAGGCACAGCTACCTTTCAAGCTGGCGCAGGGAACTGTGAAGGGGACTATTCACCTTTAGGTAATATGAAATAAWTACAAGAAATTTCTTGAATGTTGCAATGCTAAAAATTCGAGTTGAGTTCAAGCTAAAGAAGTGATGGAGGTATTTCATCCTTAGTTCTACCTATTTAATTGTAGAATGTTGGTTTACATATTGGTAGGGGGTTGGTAAGATGTTGGTAGGACGCTTGCAGGTTGTCAGTAGGTTGTTGGTGGAAGGTCAGGTAGATATCGATAGGCTATCGGTATGGTGTCGATAGGTTGATGGTATTTTAACAGTAGGATGTCGGTAAAAAAGTAACCGCAGGTTGACGGTACCATATTGGTAGTGTAATGATGTAGTGCCGGACAATACCCTACTGACAACGATTTGGGGGTCGTATTGTTTATCATAATTACCATTTTTCCTTTCTTACCTCCAGTGACGTACCCATTACTATCAGCAAGTCACATTTAGGGAAATCCTTTTCATAAGAATAAAACTTCTTTGGAAGATCTTCACCAAAAAACACTATGTCAGGCTTGATAATACCCTTTAAAACAAAAACACATTTCATTTTTATTCATATTGAATCTCACTTTTTATTATTGGGTCAAAACCCAAAAGTTCGAAAACTGTTTTCCCCCTCACTAAGAATTTTGTTTCAGAGTTTATTGTGTGAGTTAGATTTGCCCTGATTTAGATCAGCCTAGATGTTGTTTCAGGGTTCAACATGTGAGTAATCTATGCCCTGACTTAGCATAAGGGTTGTTTCAGGGTTTGATAAAAATAGAAGATTCAAGGGCTTTTTGATTCATAAATTCATATAAAATTAAATTCTTACCTTACACTTAGGAGCAATACACCTTGGTATGTCACCTTTTAGAATTACTTTCTACATTAAAAATAATACAAGATAAATCTTAACAATCATACGAAGTCGTGTATTAATAAGTACAAATGCCCTCCTTTGGGCTTTCACAACTGGCTACTTATATATTGATGGTCACTTGAAATAGGTTCCACTTAACTTGTAAGAAAGTCACAATCATTTAAATAGTATCAATATCAAACCTTAATTGTATCACCATCATATTTCTTGCAGCATTTAATACATGACGCAGAGGAGAATGTCCCATGGGCTTCAACCAACTTGTCTTTGGGTAGCCCAGCCACTAAAAAATCAAATTTAATTTTTTATTGATAAAATAGGCTTAAAATAGTGGCTGGTCTGTCACTGGTCATAATCATCAGCCAAATTAGTTTAGCTCARTCATACCTCATTTCTGCCTCAACATTACAATGATTGGCAAGCCAAAGATTTGACTGGACAAGTTGTCCAATGAGGATCAGTCGCTGGTCACGGTAAGAGGCCAGATTAGTTTTAGCTTGGCCATACCTTATTTCTGGCTCAACATCACTGGTCAAAATGACTGGACAAGAACTTTTGGATTCTGCAGGCGTTATTTGAGCCATGCTTTAATATCTATTTATTTATTTACATAACTTTATCCATGACAATTATCTAAGTTCCTAAGCTATCATGGAAGGGGTAAGCACAACAGAGCTTGGCTCCAAACTAAGTGCACCCTAACAAAAATTTAAATTATAATAACAACAACAAAATACGAATAATGATAAACTCTAAGTGAAAAAATCGAGTGAAGATTTACCAATTATTATACTTAGATGATAGTAGCTAATTCAAAGGCTAAGAGTATGGCAAAAAATAGTCCGATCTATTCGATATTCAATAAAACACTCCAAGAGAAACACTTACATCTCTCGAGCCCATCAATATTCTGTGTATACATCTTTAATAGTAGACCCTTGTCATTAAGTAAATTAATAAAATAATGCACATAGTTTGGCTGGAAATTTCCTGGATACAGGGTTTTGGCCAGGCAGAAGAAAGGTCTCGGGTCATACCAGAAGTACTCTATGTCAAATATGGCAGTTGGCTCTGGTATGTTGTACTCTTGTAGGTTGTCATAGAGACCAGTGCCTGGAGTTCTAAACAAAAAAATGAGAGTAAGATTATCAGGTGACATAGTGTCAACATTGATTTTTCATAATTATGTCTTCCATGTATAACAAATAAGCAACTCTATATCTCAGGAGTTTCATTAAGGTTTGGTATTGGAGAATGCTGCCAGTAAATGAGCATAATTCTGTAGCTTAAACTAGCTTAGTAATTCGTAAAATATTGACAATTTGACTTGCCAACTAGTTCATCAAACTTAATTAAACCCCTGGGACTTAGAATAACAGCCAGTCAGTTGCTTGGTCAGCATGATGAGCAGCCAGAAAATCATTCACAGCTCTGTCATACCCTGTTTCTAGCTCAACATTACGCGGCAAAGATTTGACCACAAGTTCCAATTCTGACCAGACATTGTCCAATGACCAGCTGTTATTTTAAGCCCTGTATTTGCAAGACAGACTCTGACTCCCTGAGAGAAGAAAAAATAACACCTTGGAAAATAAGTCAAATTGATTAAACTTACCTAAAATCTGGTATTCCACTCGGAGTACTTATACCTGCACCAGCCATTACAATAATATTCTTGCATTTCTCATCCTTGATCAAATTTACGATATCAACTATTGTCGATACCGAGACTGTACTCAAACTTCTTGATTTTCCTGATTTAGGCTTCCTTGGAGAGCTGCTTCGTGAATAATTGGTTGGCTGAGGGTTCGGAGTTAGGGAGAGGTTTCTGAACGCCGATGAAAGGCCATTATCTGATTGGCTCTTGATAATCTTTCTCTTAGTAGTAAGTTTTCGTTTTTGGTTGTTAGACGGTGGAGAAGGTGTTAAACTTGGGTATCCTTTTGCGTGCGGTTTAGATGCTGGTGATGGTGTTAGCGACGCTCGTAGTTTCCTGGACGACCGCATAATAACTAAGCGATAGGATGTAAATACATATCAAAATGTTAGTGTAGGAAATTGAAAATTGCAAAATCTCAAGTACAATTGGGAATATTGATGGTACGAGTGATGTTTTGAAAATTTTCAAAATTGGACTACAGACTTTAGGTTAGTCCAATTTGAAAATTTTCAAAACATCGAGTACAAAAATACACTCAACAAACAATTTATTGAGCAACTAAGTGGGACTAACAAATTTCACAAAGGTAAATATACTTAAAAATGATATACCTTACAGTACATATATTTAAAACTTTAAATTACGAATTCTAAAGCTTGGAAGCTTACATCAAATCAAGAATTCGAACGCTATAAGAATTTTAATAGAAAAAAATCAATAATTTAATCCAAACTAAGAAAATKAGTGTCCCTAGACGAAGAAGGAATAGTATATTGATAGTGTGAGATTCATTAATTATGAATGTGAAGGGTTTTAATAGTTTAAAAAGATTAATAAAGTTGATTAATTAATTGTTTACCTCGGAAACCAGCGGACGCCATTACATCTTGATGGAGTCACAGGAGGGGGGCTGAGTACTAGAGGTAATTATATTCGTAAACACAGGGAGCCCAATTGTACTGAAATCTTAGAAAAATTGAAAGACTGAATTTGAAATTTTAAAAGTGAAAAAAAAAAAAAAAAAAAAAAAAGAAAAGCAAATGTCTTTGCAAATAAATAATCTTTCGTGAACTTTTAGATAAATTCCTTGAAAGATTTTATATGAGATGAGGGCCAAGTTTATCTAACATTGGCTCAGTTAAATGCATATATTCTTAAAAAGAATTCACAAATTTAGTTGATTGACCTTAGTTGATTTGACTTTTTTATTTTAATGGTAAATACCCGGTAAATTCCTTAAGATTTGGATTATTAGATTTATTTGGGCTACCTGTGTTGTTCAACCCACAATTCTTCACGGTTTGTGCCGCCTAAATTCAAAATCCTTTCAACCAATCAGAAGCGCGCGATTTGTTGTTCGTTGAAGATTTTCAACAGTCGAAGCAAAGAACCGTTCGAGTGAAGATAGATCGTTTTAAAAAGTCGTTTTTATGGTTTGATTTCGAGAAAAACTAATAAATCTTCGCAATTCTTATTCTTTTCGAGGTAAGTAGTTTTAGCTGACATAATAAATGTAGATCTAGATGTAGGCTTCCTAACTACATTTCCTTGCTTGAAACAGTAATGATGAAAAGGTAAATTAGTAAATTAGTAAAGGTAAATTRGTAAGTTTTTTCATCTTTTCACGGTGTATAATTTACCTTTTCATCATTACTGTTTCCTTGCTTGATCTCTGTTCTCGCGGTGTAAGATAGAGCAGAGTTATACATTTTTCTTCGATCAAGTTGACTAAAGTCTTTATCGCAAAATTCAAAATATCTGCTCTTTTGATTTATTATAGAACTTAAAGAAAAATCTTAACTGTTTTTTTTCTTCCTGAAAATGGATCCTGTAGAAACGGTGAGTACAGATAAATATTCATCATTAGTATGACACTAGCAAATCTTACAATATACAGATAATATGCTTTATAATTTTCTATAAAAATGGGCCTTATCGTCAAGAAAGATTTCTCACTTTTTATAAGCTGTATGGATTATACGAATTGTATTAAATATTCTTACTTTTAACAGTTATTGCACCCTGCTAACTGGGTCTCCTTTCTTTTAATTTATTTCTCTCGCTAGGGAGAAATTAAAGAAACTCTGCTAGCAGTAGGGTTTCAGCTATTGATGGGTTGCAAGCATTCCCAATACTCCATGTTTTTGTCTTTTAACTCTCTAAGAGAGCTAAAAGACAAAAACATGTTGGCCATTGTGGTACCATTAACAATGGGTGCTAATGAGAAATCTTTTGTTAAATGGTACCAACATGGCCGCAATGACGTAACGTGCAAACGAAGAATTGGGACTTCTGCTAATTTTCAATGTCTTACAGAGATCACCTTTACAAACGCAAGACCAAAATGTCATGGCCAAGCGTCTACCCCAACCGAGTAAACTGCGCCCCCCATCTGCTGTAAAGAGACCATGCGTCAAAGACTCGATGGATGAGGTAAGGAACTTTCTTTTTTTCAGCAGCCTTATTTCCTTTTTGCTTGATTGCAAGGGGCAGAATTTTTATGTTTGGGGGAAGGGGTGCAGCCCTGGGGGGGGGGGGGTAGTCCCATATATGGACTATACAGGGATGATCCGCTGAAGGGTATGGTTTTTTGAGCTTCTTGTCATAAACAGGGTATGCAATTTCACTCAAGTTCCAAGTTCTTCCTGAGTTTCCTGAGTTTACTTTCGTATTGATAGTCTCCCTCRCATCCGTTTTTAGTACGACCGACATTAAGAACGGATGTGAGGGAGACTATCGTATTGACTGAAACTGGTTATTATGGTGGTCAAAAAAATCAATACCAAGATGACATGATAATTGAAACAGGAGCTAAGTGCAATAAATTATATCTTTTGTCATAAACAGGGCCTAAAAATTTGAGTTTTTTTGTCTTAAACAGGGTACCCCTTTCAGAATCCCAGCGGAACACCCCTACCCAAATTTTGGGTGTGGCAAGAGTGCAATAATGCTTTTTATGAAGAATGATGATGATGATATGACAATGTTGATGATAATAATATGATGTTGATGAGAATAGTGATGATGTTGATGATGATGGCAATTGTGAAGTCAATKGTGATGTAAATAGCGATGATGGTAGCAATAATGATAATATTGATAATGATGTTGACAATGATGATGAAATGGCGATATTGGTTGATGGTGATAATGACGTTGATCATGATGATGCATGGTGATGACAATGATAATTCATAGGGATTCAATTCAGGTTTTTAAAAATCAGTTGCTGACCAAATATATCAATTTCTCTTTCTACCAGCCAAAGCTTAAGGCACCAAAATGTGACCTAGCTATCCCAAAATCCAGTGCAGGATCATCAGCAAAACCTCAGTTGCCCACTGCTCTTCGTAGACAAACATCTTCAGCTGTTGTTCGTAGAACCACCACTACCAAAAACAACATGCCTCCTCCTAGCACAGTAAAGCCTGTTGGGAGCACTCTAAGAAGACAGACTTCAGCCAATTCACTCAAAAAAGGGACTGCGTCATCAAATACAAAGACTGCTGGCAAGGCAACAAGCTCTAAGTTGAGTAATGGGGAGGCTAAACAGCTGCCAAAAGGTATGTACTGTAGAAAAATTGTGGATGGTTCTTCCATCTTTAATGAATTACTCTTAGACAGTGTGAGAACTATACTGAAAGAGAGAAATTAATGATAGAAATAGTCATAAATAATTCAATTAATTAATCAAACAATCAATCAGAACTATGAAGCTGTGGTGTCTTGAATGAATGGACGGTAGACTGGTAGAGTGAATGAATTGATTAGTTGATTGGTGAACGAATGAATAGAAGAAGGGAAAAATGGAAAGTGGATGTCTTGAATAAGTGGGTGGAAGGGAAGAATGGAAGATTGGGGAATTGATTTATGGATGGGATAGAATGGAATGAATAAGGAATTGATTGATTGGTGAGAGGAAGGGAGGGAGATATATATAAAGTGCTACTACGACGAAAATCGCTCCAACTTGGATTCAGCTGAAACTTCCTAAGAATACTCTTTAAAGGTCCAATAATCACTGTATGAAGTGTTTTCTCGATATTCAGGACGAAAGTATGATATTTTTACGATTAGTTTTTGGAGTCTGTGACGTCATACACTCAACATCGAACATCGCTCCATACATTTCTTTGTAGTTTATGATCAAAATATCAGTAGTAAAGGGAGAAAGAAATACCCAAACACCCCAAAATATAAATTATAGTCACGAGTAATGTGAAATAAGCACATTAGCCACCCTTTGGGCTTCATAAGAATAAAATAAATTAAGGATTTATATACAAAGAAATATATGTAGCAATGTTTGATGTTGAGTGTATGACGTCACAGACTCCATAAAATAATCGTAAAAATATCATACTTTCGTCCTGAATATCGAGAAAACACTTCATACAGTGATTATTGGACCTTTAAAGAGTATTTTTAGGAAGTTTCAGCTGAATCCAAGTTTGAGCGATTTTCGTCGTAGTAGCACTATGAGTAAAAGAAAGCAGGGATGGACTAAGAAAAACCAAACCCCACGTACCATTTTTAAAATAAGGAATAATTTTTCCAGTCCCAGGACAAGGCAAAAAGAGATCCACGTGGGATTACAAAGGACGGCTTGAAGACATGGAGAATTATTTGTCCAATACAAAATATTTGATGGACGACATGAATAAATCAATGAACCACAACAGAGAACGAATTGAATACCTTGAATCAGTAAAGAAAGAACTTGAAGGAACCATTGAAGTCAAACATCAGCAAAGTGAACAGGTATTTTGAACGCTCTGGTAAAACATTTTCACTGCCCCATCATGCCATCACGAAATGTAGCTAACAGATTCAGTATAATAAGGCTTATAAGGTAATGGAACATTTCTTCCTCACTTCTGGGGTCTCGGGTTTGATTCCTGGACTTTGCATCACATGTGAGTAGAGTTTGTTAGGTCTCTCCCTCTTGAAAAGACGGGTTTTCCTCCGGATTCTCTGGGTTTCCCTGTTCCACAAAACCCAACATCATAGATTCCTATTCAATATATGGGTTATCTATAGGGGCGGATCCAGGATTTTTTCTAGGGGGGGGGGGTGCATCATTCAGGATTTTCGTTTTAGGAGGGGGTGCACCCTTTGCTTATGAACTGAAACACCAATAATGCAGTAGATATCAGCTTATCTAGAGGGGAGGGCCAGAGGTTGTTTCAGGGTTTGATCTGTGAATTAGCCATGCCCTGACTTAGATCAGCCCAGAGGTTATTTCAGGGTTAGATCTGTGAGTATTCCAAGCCCAGACTTAGATTAGCCCAGAGGCTGTTTCAGTGTTCAACTAAGTGTTCAACAAAATTTATTCTATAAAAAAAAACTGAACTAGTAATTATCTTATAAAGCTCTAATAGTTTATAAACCAATTATTTCTCATTCCTCAGGCGTCGGCCAGAATCCAAGACTTACAGGCACACATACTCATTACTGAAGAAGAACTCAATTCCTTGAAGTTGAGGCATGAGTTTGAGATTGAGGTCAAAGAGAATAAAATCAAATCACTGGTTAAAGAGAAAGAAACCCTGGAGAGAGACCTGAAGGTTTCAGAGAATGAAGTTATGGCATTAAAAACTGCGATTGCGCAGATAACTGCACAGACATCTGGTTTAAACGCTGAACTTGAGGCGACAAAGGTGAAGGATTTTTTTCATAACGTTGCATTTGTTACATAGTTTAGAACGACTTTCGTTTAAGTAGGAAACGCACGGTAATGACTTTTTTGTTGAGAAAAAAATGGGTCAAGTTAGTATTGCAGTGCATTGTTGGACATTTAGGGGGGGAGGGGAAATAGACACCATCTTGGAAGTACGTCCCCTTATAAACAGTCGCACAATATAGTAACGTATAATTCATCCATCCATAATACATATAATATTTAATTCTGCAAGGTATTGACAGAAGAAATATTGCCTTTTTTTACTCTGATGATGGACCATCCAAAACCTTGGGATGAAATATTTTTTCAATACCATCTGGCTAAGGCTGTGTTCATAATGTATGGCAGAGGGGGGGAGGAATGGTGGGGCAGTTGAAAATTTGAAATGTCCAGAATAATTCTTAAAAATAAAAATTTGCCCATCCCCCACTTTTTCCTACCAAAATTTACCCGATACCCCCTCGATTTCACCTGCCCCCCGCCATACATTATGAACGCAGCCTAACCGTCCGGCGAAAGAACGTTTGACAGATTCCATTCTTTTTGTTTTTTGTTTTAAAGATTAATCTCCAATCGAACATCGAACTAAATCGATGTAAGGACGAGAGAATAGCCAAGTTACTAAAAGAGATCGAAGAACAACAACATCTCATAGATGAGAAAGATTCCAAACTGCGAGACGAAGAAACAATTCGTAGGAAGCTCCACAACGCAATCCAAGAGTTAAAAGGCAATATACGAGTCTTTTGTCGCGTCCGTCCCGCACTGGAAGCCGAAAAAAATCTTCCTCTGGCAAACTTCACTTTCACGGATGAAGATAGGGGCATAATCGTAGAACAGTCCATTGCGTCCGAAGTAAGACCCATAGATATAAGTTATTTCTGTATATTTTTCTGTTATACCCAGACAATACTGACGCTGCATGCTTTTTCTGGCTTTAGCGAGTGTAGTGCATTGTGGTATAGCTTGGGGGAATTGGGCAGCAACCTTCAACAACACGAATTTTTTATCTTCCATAAGGTTCTTTTCTGTAATTTATGGCCTTCTTGCTTTTATATCTGATTATAGGACGTCGCTGGAAACAAAAAAGCTGCATCTCGCTACGAGTTTTCGTTCGATAAAATTTTCGACAAGGGCTCTGAACAAAACGACGTCTTCCAGRAGATTTCCCAGTTAGTACAATCAGCTCTGGATGGGTATAATGTCTGTATATTCGCGTACGGCCAAACTGGTAGCGGAAAGACCTTCACCATGGAAGGTAACCATGGTAATCATGATCAACGTGGAATGATCCCCAGATCCATGGAACAGGTGTTTGAAACAGCAGCTAGGCTTCAGGAGAAAGGATGGAAGGTACAGTTAAAACGAATTTTAAAAAATGTTCTAGGTATTAGAAGTTGTGCCTTTTAACTAGCTTTTCGATTGAATCGTTTTTGAGAGAAAGAAAATACGAAGATACCAATAAACGTTCAATTTGTGTCGCGAAATAATCGTTGACGGTTGGAGAAGCTTTTGTGCGTGCAACAAACACTCTCCTACATGATTTTATTTAATTTCTGCTGCAAGAAAATTATAACTTCTTCTTGTATACCTGTCAACAATTCTCTGTGCGAGAGAAGTTGAAACCAATTTTCGACGCGCGAAACACGGCTCTCGTACAACTGGGCAATTTTTGGTTATCACGAGACAAGTTCCACGATAAATGGTCGCATGTAATAGTCCATTTACGGACGGAAAGACATATTTTCTTACCCTTTTTATTCTTCAGTACACAATGGAAGCTAGTTTTCTCGAGATTTACAACGAGACGATTAGAGATCTCCTTGGTTCGGGTGATGAAAGTGTGAAACACGACATCAAGATCGTTAATAATGGTAAATCAAATACCGAACCCACTGAAGTGATGGTCACTAACTTGAAATCTTTCGAAGTAACAGCAGTAACACAGGTAAGAAATCTTGCTAAATTTGATAGAATAGTCCTCTTCCTTTGCGCGCGTAAAGTTTTCCCATTTAAGAACATGTGTCATTCCCCAGAGTATCATTTCTTTGTTTAACGGTTGCGCATGAGAAGACATGAATATGAATGCAAAACAAACGACGAATCTTATACTCAAGGGAATCCACTCGCRAAATTTATTTGTCGTCGCGACAAAATTCCATGGGTACGGAGATTGATCATAAGAAATCTTCGCACACGGCAATGTCACGTCTTTACCGTGAGTTTTTCACAGTCTAGGAACTCTGAAAAATCTCACAAGTAAAGAACGCATTGCGAAATGTTTCTTCATTACATACTTCTTCCCTTGAGCATTATTACATTTTATTATGATTTTAACTTTTTACGATTTAGACGTCTTTCCTTCATAACGCTGTTCTAATAGTGTCATTTTTGTTCTTTCATAGGTGTCAGACTTACTGCAAAAAGCCACCCAAAACCGCGCTGTAGCTGCAACCAAATGCAATGAAAGATCGAGCCGTAGTCATAGCGTGTTCATTTTAAAACTTACGGGCGAGAATAGCCTTACAGGAGAAAAGTGCCAAGGTAGATTTAAAAAAAAAAAATTCCCATAATATAAATTTCAAGAGCAGAATCTCCTCAAGGGAGTCTTTTGCCTATTTACAAAACAGTCCAAATTAATTACGTGGAGTAGGACAAAAAAGAAAATATAATGCATATAAAAACGATTGAAGTAAGTTACCCAAAGTAGATAAATAAGCTGATTCAATATTTACAGTGCGAATCGAAAAACCGTGGGCACCTAGAAATATTCTAGGAATGTTCTGTTCTTCTTTCTAACTACAAGATAACGGAAAGATAACAATAACGCTTCAGATTTGGCTATTGAAAATTCTTGAAATATTTCTAGGTGCCCACTGTTTTTCGATTCGCACTGTAAGGACAGACAAAAACGGTCAAAATCTAGTAAAACTTTTTGGAAGCAAAATATAGGATATGATTTTCAGCTTGAAACAAAGCCTGGTTCATACGAGCAACGCAATTGCAAACGCGATTGTAAACACAAGTGAAAGCGATGTTCACACGTGAAACGCAAACGTACACAAGCGCAGTTAGTACTGTATTACTTCAAAAACATTTTTGGTCTCTTGCGTATCTTTCTTATTCTCAGCGCGCACCGTTTTTCTTGATCTCCAAAGAAACGGAAAACGCTATTACTGATTCCTACTATTCACTATTTCCAGGCACTCTAAACTTGATAGATCTAGCTGGTTCCGAGCGTTTGAGCCAGTCTTGTTCAAAGGGTGAGAGGCTCAGAGAAACTAAGAACATCAACAGTAGTTTGAGCAATCTCAGTAACGTTATAATGGCTCTTGCCAATAAGGTTGGTTTGAAATAATATTTTCATTTTTTTCCTTTGTTAGTTCGTCCCTTCCACTCTTCCGTCCCCTTCTTTCTCCCTCCTTCCCTTTCGTCCTTGCCCTGCATGTTGCCTGCCTGCCTGCTTCCTTTGTTGCTTGCCTGCCTGTCTGTCTGTTATCTGTATGTCTATTGCCTTTAATTCATTAATCCATTCTTTTTTTTCTTGCTTTGTGCTTCCAAACCATCAAAAGTATCTTCATTAACTAAAAACCTTATATTTCTAGGATTCATTCGTCCCTTATAGAAACAGTAAATTGACATATCTTCTAAAAAACTCTCTCGGCGGAAACAGCAAAAGGTAAATGCACAATACTAGAACCTTAACTAAATTCCAATTTCATTAGTGAACTAGCCGTACCCTGACTTTGATCAACCCAGAGGTTGTTCATGAGTTCAATCTGTGAGTTGGCCATGCCTTTGATCTGTGAGTTGGCCATGCCTTGACTTAGATCAGCCCAGAGGTTGTTTCAAGTTTGATCTGTGAGTTAGCCGTGCCCTGACTTAGATCAGCCTAGAGGTTGTTTCAGGGTATCCATAAAATTTGAAGACCTTTTTTCATTGACTGTTGATATTAATCGTTCATGTTTCCGATTTACAGCCTGATGTTTGTGAATGTTTCTCCACGAGAAGAATCCTTCCAAGAGACGCTCTGCTCGCTGAGGTTTGCAACGAAGGTGAGGTTTTTTTCTATCACTTTCACATGCAATGAAGTTTATTCTGTACTTCGCCTCTCTCACCTACTCACTCCCTGCAACCCAAGCCCTTGCACCCTTGCCAGTCTTAGGAATCTTGTGGAATGGCATAAAGAATGTTAATCATATAGATGGTGGCATTGGGCTTTTAAACAACAAAATGCAGATGGGTGGGGGTGGGGATGTATTTGTTTATCAATTTCAACGCTAGATACAGCATACATTCAAATGAATTTAAAAATTGTATTGAGATTCCATTGTAGAATTTCAAATAGCAATGCTTTTTTTTTGGTCCTTTTGTTAATTATGTAATCTCTATTTTTTTATTTTGTTTTTGCAGGTTAATCAATGTAATATTGGGACCGCTCAAAAGAAAGTCGTAAAATAAGATAATTACTTCCAAGATTTTCCTTCTCTACGTTGTCAGCCTCAGACTCCTGTTATTCTTTATGTGCATGGCATTTCGTCGCGCATGCGCAGAAAGAATGACAGGCTCCTGGAGTCGAGAGTGACCTCACAATGTATATAATAGTAACGCCCTGAAACACCCTCGGTTTCGTTATGTTATCGAGGAGGCCTGGGTACGAAATTGTTCAAGGAAGTAAATTTTGACGTAATTATTGTAGATAATGGTGATTGCATTGAGAAGAAATCGTCTCGAGAGAGCGTCCACTTTGATAAACCTCTATATCCGTAGGCAACGCTCTTGATATGGGTAGCCAATCATAATGTAAAAAGGACATTTAAAGCGTGCAGTCACATGCCAAGTACTTCTTTTTAACTGCCAGGACTGTGCTGATGAAGCCCAGATTTGTGTGAATGCAATTTTTAATTTAAAATAAACAATAATTAGATTACTCACCTGACCTATACAACTATATAACCCTGTATAAGGCGGACGTAAAAGATCCACTGAAGACGCTGGTGACGACCATCTTCAGTGCCCGTGCTATACAGGACCCACTGTAACTGGCTATACTGTTGTGGTGTTCTACCCTCATGGGAAAAATATCATAAATCATAAATCAGCTAGTTATAATTCAAGAAGTCTGGCTTATTGGCTTCCGTCAATCAGATTTCCAACGGTCTGAATTATAAATTTTTTGATTGCAAAACGAAAAGAAAAAATGAAAGGAGACGGTCCAAAATGGGTGTAAGATAAATCGCTGTTTTGGGCGTCTCGTTTTCCCATTCAAAATAAGATCCTTAATTTTGTTTATTTGTAAGAATCACTTGTTGTATATGTGTTATAACTTTTTTATCTTACCCATGCGAGTTTTAGAAAGTTGGCACTGCAGTGCATTTTGGGTCTGCAGCAGTGGACATATTTCCACGATGGCGGCTATTTCGTCCCCTAAGAAGGCCCCATAATGCACTGTAATGCCAATTTTATTCCTCAAACTCGAAATGGCTAATAGAGTGCACTCAGTCAAACTGTTGAATAGTTAGATAAATGTATATAACTTAGATAACTATTTAGTTGACATCACCTAAAATAGTAAAAGCGCGCCAAATAACGGTCATGCTAATCCGGGGGTTTGTTTTACCAGAGAATATGAGTGAATAGACATTCATTTGTACCATCGTTTCTCCCCCTGATCTCAGTAGCTGTTTACTCGTAGTTTCAAATTTATGTGAGGTCAGCTGAAATAGTAACTAATTTATCTAATTTAGGTGACGTCAACTATTCAACAGTTTGACTGAATGCACTGTAGTGTAAAGAAAAATATTTTTTTTTTGTAATTTTATAACGTCATAACTGAAATATGCTGGATGATCAAGTGAGCATTGCACCATATAATAAAAAATATATGATATCAAATCAAAATTTTGCATGTTGTATTTCCCTGCATTAAACATTTGTAGTTTTCGAGAATTTATCGAAAGGCCCCGTTATACACCGTTCTCATAATGGCTGAAAGGGGCACGAAAACGAGTTCACCCAGTCATTAGTTCACAAAGTACATTAAGTATATAGCTATACAGCACTATAACTTATCTATATTTCCGTATTTCTTCATGTATTTCATAAGTGCTACGCGGTCCACATATTCTCATCAGTTCACAAAGTACATTAAATGAGTTTATAAGAGAAAAGTATAGAAATTTAACTCTTGTTTTGACCTGTTTCGCGCTATCCACCTTTATTCTGAATGAGCATATTTGCTCAGCCTTGCAAGATGACTGGGTGATCTCGTTTTTGTGCGCTCGTCAGCCATTATGAGAAGGGTGTATGCGTTAAAACTTCTAGATCTAGATGAAAATTCTGTGCAACGGGGCTGCGAAAAAACTTAACCTCAAAATCCAAGAGAAACGTGGGCTCTGGGTACGAAATTGCCCAACGGTCAGACGAGGTTGTCGACGAGGTTGGGATTTCTGTGGTAAAACATAATAGACTCAGTGATTGGACAATTAGCCACAGCTGTTTTTATCCAATAGGATTAGTCGTTATATTGCTTCCATGATGCTTCGCAAACCAGAGCCGCACGAGTTCGCCATCTTGAAGAATCAAAGAAGATGGCGTCGCGTCCTTTTTAATAGATTTTTACCCTTTTTTCAAAGCCTTTTTGAATTTTAAGAGTAAAATAACATGACTCAATATCTCCCTTCGAATCTTCTTGCTTTATTTGCGCCAAGGGATCCTCTTCCTTTCCTTCCTCCGCTTGATAAGCCAACGTGGTTGAAGAAAAAACCCTGGCTTTATCAAGGAGTTTCTTCGTATTTACACGTGTTCGAGGTGAGCTATTCTTTCTTCTTTAGCATGTAGCCAGACACACTATCTTCTTTATGAAGGTAACCTACAAATAGCAAGTTTTCTGAATTTTGTGCTTTAAGCTTAGTGGTTTGCGACGACTGCTAAATTAATTCACAGTAATTGGCGAAGTCTTCACAGTGTCCTAGCCATCCAGTTCTATATTTTTCGTTTCATTTCTTTAATGTTTTGCTCAGTCATATTCCTACTAAACTCATTTCATTTATTTAAAATGCGGATTTATATAAGTAAATAATAATAAGTGCATTATACAATGCATCACGTGAGAAAATATGGTAGGTGTTATTTTTAAAGTTTAGGAGATTTTTCATCTTCATCTGTAACCTCGACAGATTTTTAAAACCTCAAAAGTGTGAGTTAGCTATGCCCTGACTTTGATCAGCCAAGAGGTTGTTACAGGGTTTCATCTGTGAGTTAGCTGTGCCCTAACTTAGATCAGCCCAGAGGTTGTTTCAGGGTTTGATCTGAGTTAGCCATGTCCTGACTTAGATCAGCCCAGAGGTTGTTACAGGGTTTCATCTGTGAGTTAGCTGTGCCCTGACTTAGATCAGCCCAGAGGTTGTTTCAGGGTTCGATCTGTGAGTCAGCAGTTCCCTGACTTTGATCAGCCCAGATTTGTATCTTTTCAAATATTTCAAATTGTGTAGTTCCAGAAAATATCTATACCCCACCCACAGAGAAAATTGGAAATTCTGGAGGGGAGGGGGTCAGAGAATGAACAAAATTACAGAGTTTGTTTGGAACAAAATTTGAAGTTCCAGGGGGTAAGGGGGGGTCCTTTTACAAATTTCCTTCATGGTGGAGGTATGGATGTTTCATGGAACTTTACATTGCTGATGCATACTAATCACAAGCTGGAACTTATTTTTGCATTTCTCAGGATCCTAAGGATACTCCACCTCCAACTAGAGCTGAAACAAGAGAGGAAAAAATCTTAAGAAAGGTAAATTACACAGCAATGCCCCTCTTCTGAAGAGCAATGGGGGTGTGCACTGCTAATATATTACTCCCACAAAGGACTAGTGTCCGAAACGTCAATAAGTTTTTAAATCTTTTCACGCTGTAAGATTTACCCTTTTATCATTAAAATACTGTTTCATTAAAAATGGTGCCACAGCTCACACTAGTTTTTAGCTAGTTATCTCTGCTAATAAATCACCAATGTGATCTGGGTTCGAGTGCTACTGGGCTCAGTGTCTAATGTGCTTCAAGGGTTTTTTCCCTCTTAATTCTCCATGCTTTTCTTCCTCATCAAAAATCGACTTTTAATTTCTAATTCAATCTATCAGCTACCTTAGTATTAAGTGGGTTGTAAAACCTGTTGGCTTTTGGCCATGGGCCCAGGAGTAGTAAATTTCATTAGTGGTTTCGTAAATCCTCTATTTAGCCCCCCGGGGGGCTTATTTATTTCAGGCACGTTTGAGGGGGGGCTTAATATGAGAGGGGGGGGCTTATCGATTTAGTCCAAACGCAGTAAGTTTTGAGGAACAAACTGTTGTGCTTATGTTAGTGAATTACCATATCAAGACTTTAATAAATCACCTTATCACGATTCTTTAGTTGTGAAGGGGGAGGTGAAGGGGGATAAAAAGAGGGGGGGGGCCTAACAAATTTCTTCCTTTAAAAAGGGATGGCTTATTAGAGAGGGGGGGGGGGCTAAATAGAGGATTTACGGTAGATATTAGTTTTTTTTGCGGGCATCAGATGGTGGTTAATGTCCTGTTATTCTGTTATCTAGTTTGTTAACTGTAAACTATTTATTCTGCACTTCTATAGAGAAGGGAAAAAGAAGAACGAGTTAGGAGCGATATTGAAGAAAACATTAAAGAATGTAAGTTTGCTTGTTTATTCCATTTTTTGAATGAATGGCTCATGACAATGACAATATTCTTAGTGTGGAACCACGTGAACGAAAAACCCTTTGAGATATAAATAACYGTGATCTTGGTTGATCTAACAATAATRAGGAATGCTTGGTATAGTCAACCACCATTGTGGCTATGAGTCATAACATGCACCCCAAGAATTGTTTATTATCCTCTTTCTCATTCCATGCAAAAATATAGGGGTCCGCAAAAATCAGCAAGAAAATTAGGGTCGGTCAGGCAACAGGAAACACACTTATTTTTTTGTTTGGCCTTACATTGGCCAAGAATGTTAATGGATATTTTAATGTTTGTAGATAATCCTCAACTTGATCCCAATGCTGATGGTGATGCATTTAGAACACTGTTTGTCGGCAGAATTGTAAGTTATTTCAACAGGCACTTCCTTCGTTAGAGTAGATTACACATACCAATTACAATAGCCGACTTGCACTAACAGGTCACATGACCGTACTTCCCTTAAAACGAGTAGCTGTGTTAAAATAAATAACAGAAATGAAAAGAGCACCTCAATATTACTAGGGTGGCAGAGTTTTAGCTCAGAACTTCAGAACAAGCAAAACAGGAAACATGGCATTAAATATAAAATCAAATATTTTATAAGGATTTGTATTGGTAAAATATGCCTTGCCAACCTGCACACTGAGGAATTTGGAAATTCCAAGGGGTTGGGGTGGTCAGAGAAAGACAAGAAAATTGGAATTTCAGGGGAGGGGTAGTCTGAAAAAAATCCTCCTTGGGGGGAGAGGGGGGGAATGGATAATTTCTGGAACTACACAATTTAGATTTTAAATTTTGAGACTATTTCCAATTTTTATTTTTCAGAATTATGATACCTCAGAATCCAAGCTACGAAGGGAAATGGAAATATATGGACCAATAAACAACGTATGTTTAAGGATTAGTTATCTTTTCTTTGTCTCTTTTCTTTATATTGATAGTTAAATTTAATGACTGATTCTAGATCACGATGGTAATTGACAAGAAGACATCTAAACCCAGAGGGTATGCCTTCATTGAATATGAACATGAACGAGACATGCACGGTAAGATTTTCAATATTTTCTCCTTAAACACCAGTATTTCATCTTTATGATAATTACTAATTAAACCTACAATCAGAATCCTAGTAATATACTTGTTTGACTGATAGACTATAGGAATATGAGGTCTATCTACTAGGAATGTCATCAAATTGGGTTTTCATGCCAGAAAAACATGCCACCGTCACATCTCCAAGCGACTACAATCCTCACACAAATATTTAGTCTTGCATTCCTCTCTTCATGTGTGGAACATCCTTCAATAATTTCCCACAAATTATCAAAAGAATGCCTACATATGGAGAAAGGAATGCAGACTAAAAGTTTGACGATTGTTAGCATTGTGTACGTTTGGAGGCATGAGCCTGGATTTTTCTGGGTTGAAAACCTAATTCAGGGCAATTTTTTTAGTAACTGGTATAAACAAACTACTGTATACAAACTTCATTTTGAATAAAGTGGAAAGTATTGCCAAAATCTTGCTGGGAAAAAAACAAGTCAAATGCTATTATATTGGTTTAGACATGGATTTTCACTAATAGACCATGTATTGTGGTACTGTAGCCAATCAGAATGCTGGATTTGTAATAGTTCACTAGTTTGTTTATACTAATAAAACATAACTCTCATGGTCTATCACTAATACACAATATAGGAATGTAATAATAAAGTAATAGATTACAGTGGCTTTTACAGAATGTCCCACAAGCAAATTCTGAAGTTAGTTTAAAAAATTCCCAAGTTGGCGACCAAAATTCGTTATGAGCCTTATGAACTTCCCCCCAAATTTCTGAACTTGGTTTGCTTTGAAGTTTGCCAACTTGGGGATTTCTGAACTAATTGGAATCTGTTCCAAAAGTTATTGAAAAGTTATGCAAAAGCTAGTACAAATACATATATTAGTGCACATAGGTACAAGTAAGTTTCTACAAAGTTTTTATAAAATTCTTTAAAAAAATGARTAAAAATTCCCTAAAGGTTTTTATTTAATAGGGAAATAAGGTCATTTTCCTATGATTTAGATTAAATTTTCCTTGAGCTACTCTAAAAATATTTTTTCTAAAATTTAGCTAAGTTTTTTTTTATCTGACACAATAAATTATTGTCACACTTATTGCTGCTGGATGTGCTGTGTATGGGTTGCCTTTGCTCTGCCTACCAAGAAATTATGGGTTATTGTCGTTGATGGTAAAAGAGGTTCTGACTTATTTTTATTTTGTGTTCGTGATTTTTTTGTAAACTATAAAAGACTTTGTTTTGCCCACTTTTATTAATGCCGACAAGAATTTTCTGCTTTCTGTGAGTAATTGCTTCCAGCAACTAGAATTAATTAATTTAATGCTCATGCACTGTGGCATTGTTTGAAACATAAATAAACTAATACTTTAGTTGGTGTATCGCAATGTGAGACAACCACTACAGAGCTGTGCTTAAGTATAGAGAGAGATAAAAACATCAAATTATCAAATTGAATAGAGACAAGAAAACAAAGAACCAGGGGGAATTTCTCAAATTTTACAACACAATTGCTGCCATTTATAAGTCATATTATTTTATACCAATACAATTGAGTAGATTCATTTTTATTTATAAATATACAAGACCAAATATTGCAGAATGGTAAGATTGGTTTTGATACCGAGAAAGGACACTGAATTTGGTCATTGGTAAGACATGGTTTATTTTAACATTCCAAAATGATTTCTTTTTTTAAAAAAAAGTTTAAAGTGGCTGTAATTCACAATTTTTTCTTACTTTTAATCAAATCTTGCAGTGAAAAACTGTAAAGACAATTCCCTTTGGCATCTGATAGACATTTGAAGGCCATCCTTCCTTTATTGTGCTTGCTAAGCATCATGGTCTATATGGTGGGTATAGGTGGGTATACCCAGGTAATGAGACACTGGTCATAATCAGGTTACGGAGTACAGAAATGCTGCTATTTCGGCCAACAACACTGTCAGGGCATGGCTAACTCACAGATTGAACCCTGAAACAACCTCTGGGCTGATCTAAGTCGGGGCACGGCTAACTCACAGATCAGTGCCCCTGAAACAACCTCTGGGCTGATCTAAGTCAGGGCATGGCTAACTCACAGATTGAACCTTGAAACAACCTCTGGACTGATCTAAGTCGGGGCATGGCTAACTCACAGATCGAACCCTGAAACAACCTCTGGGTTGATCTAAGTCAGGGCATGGCTAACTCACAGATCAATAACCCTGAAACAACCTCTGGGCTGATCGAAGTCGGGTGTTGGCTAAGACAGATTGAGCCCTGAAACAACCTCAAGGTTGATCTAAGTCGGGGTACGACTAACTGTGCACAGATTGAATTGGATTTTAAAACCGGAGAACTAAAAAAAACCACAAAAAACTACTCACATTTGATGCCGAGTCTAGGAATCAAACCCAAAATCCCAGAGGTAAGAGGCGAGTGTGCTACCTCTAAGCCACCTTTGTTTCACAACAGCAACTTCGTACTACAACATTTACAACTAAATCACCAACAACAATATAGCAGCAGTCTTACAAATAATTATTAAATTTTAAAATAAATCTTGGATTCCTTAACAGTATTCCCATTTTCGGTTTTGTTCTCTTCCTTAATGGTTATTTTGATTTGAGACATGTTCCCAACCAAAGAGTATATAAATATTTTAAAAAATTGACTCTGAAAAATGTGTTAATATTGCCAGCTGTACAACTAGGAACAATAACACTTGCTTCCTAAAGAAAATCTTAACTTTAGAGTGAATTTCAAATACAATGTTCAAAATATAGATAAATAAATTTTTTCTGATGGGAGTTTTTTAGTTGTTTCACGAGGAAATAAAGATGCGATGAAATATAAGAAAAAAAATTTTTTTTTTTTTTTGCTCTGTCTTATTTCATAAGAAAGGTTTAAAAAATAGTTTTTCTTTACTTTAATATATTTAAATAATAGACCAGGTAAGTATGCTAAACATGACCAACCACATTCTCTCCAGGAAAAAAATAAGCAACTTTTCACTGTTGTCTCAAAACCTATTGACAAAATCCAGATAGACACATTTTGTTTACAGAGGAAACTCTAGTTACAGAACAAAAACTGTACACTACCTCTAGCTAATAAAGGTTGGTCCTGTTTGGCAAAGAACTTGATGACAATGGTAATAGTCATTAATGGTTCTAAACTGGTCGGCTACAGACAGTACATTCACCCCAGTTGCCTAGCAATGGGCTTCCCTGGTCAACTAATTGGTACTTAGCGCTCTCTCCTAAGAGAGGTGTGAGTATTCTTACACTTCTGGTTTGTGCACTGTGTTTAGTACATAGAGTAGATTTCTTATGAGTGTGAAACACAGCACAGTCATGGTACATAATACATGATTTATAACTCTTTGAGCCAATCACAGCAAAGCTTATCTACCGCTCATCCAATCAGAATGCTTATTCATGCAATGGTATGTCTGTACCATGATATTTTCACTGTCATGAAATCTGCTCTATGCCTACAGATTGACACTAGTTCTTTGTCCACCCAGGAGTCAAATCAAAATTATATCTACTCGGGTAAATGATAGCAGTTCGTGGCTTAAATATAATCAATTGAGAAGAGGGATGCCAAAATTTTGATAAAAAATAGCATTTATCTCTACTGTTTCTTGGAAAAATGGCAGTTATTCTGATATTGTCCACTAGTGTTGATTGGAACCATTGTCAATCTTTAGTTTGTGTTTTATGTGATGGTTCTTACAGACTTGTTTTGATGCCCATGGTTCTGTGGGGATCAGGGTGGGGGATACTTGGAGGGCCTGTGCTCTCTGAAGCTCCATTAATTTTTGGGGTTTGTATATGGATCTTTTTCACTCGGCAGCCATGTTGACTGGTACTATAGATTTTCTGCCTCAGGAAGAGGTCATACATGGTTTTTATCGTCATTGGAATAAACATGGCATGGCATCCCATAATCAAGGTCTATTCTTTAAGTTTTGAATTTTTTACTTTCCCACTGGTATTTGATAACATTTGGCTCTAAAATGATGCAACCCAGAGTGAAATTAAACGAGTCTGTAATCAAGGAACACAGTGGTATAAATTATTATGAATCGAAAAAATAATCAAAACTTATAGATTTTTTGAGAAAAATTTCCAGGTAAGTAGAGTCATGGATGTAAGAAATGCTTTAAAGGAAAGAGTATTCAATTTTGTATGAATATAAATACTCCTTATTTCTATACATCACGTGACATTTGATTCCACCACCACAGGTACCCCATAGGGTCGTGGATTTTCAAAGCAAGTCTGTAAAACAAACTTTTAAGTCAAAACTTGTTGTAATACTGAAGTTGCAGTGTTTTTATTTAACAGCGGCTTACAAACATGCTGATGGAAAAAAGATCGACGGCAGAAGGGTTGTAGTTGATGTAGAGCGAGGACGGACTGTAAARACATGGAGGCCAAGGAGATTAGGTATGACGTCAATGAACTTCTTGATAAAGCCAAGGTCAACATGCTGAAGGTCATGGGTTCAATAGACCTATATATGACAATGTTTTCCCAATTCAGCGTGACAAACCTCTGGGGGAATGAAGAGCTATTGTTTTGAAACTCGTCAGGATATCATCGTTATTCCTTTCGTATCCTTTGGGATACTCATGAATTTTTTCGAAGAGTAAAAACAAAAGAAAATGAGGATATTTGTCACGCTGAATTGGAAAAACATTGTCACACCACGAATAAGGTTTATTCTCATCTGAAACTCAGATTTCTTTCAGAGCTTCATTCAAATTTCAGTATTGCTTCAAACAACATTAATTCTACTTGTATTCAAACGATACACATATTTCATCATATTAACTGTCATTTCCCTATTCCTTTGTTCCTCCTTTTTTGTCTCCCTATCCTGCCTTCCTTCCATCCTTCCTTTCTTCCATCCGGCCATCCTGCCATCCTCCCTTACTTCCATCCTACCTTTCTTCCATCCTGCCTTCCTTCCATCACGCCATCCTTCCATCATACCATCCTTCCATCCTGCCTTCCTTCCACCATGCCTTCCTGCGATCCTCGCATTACTTCCTCTCTTCCTTTTATCCCTCCTTCATTCTAACTTTTCTTCCCTTTCCTCCCTCCCACCTTCATTTCCTTTTTTTCCTTCCTCCCTTGTTCCTTCCTTCCCACCCATTTTCTTCCTTCTTGCCTTCCACGTCCCTCTTCCTCCTCACTTTTCGTTTTTTTCTGCCATTCTTTTTCAACTCTTAAAGGGCAACTTACCCCCCAAAATGACCCATTTTTAAGAGAAMGTACATCAATTGAGAAACACAAAAATTTAATTTTTAGAGGGGATAGAGCATCCGTGTTCCTAAAAAAATAATTTCAAAACATCGCATATATCGCTCTGGTGGCCGCCATCTTTGAGCCCGCGATAAATTACCGCATTCAGGTGTGACGTCACAACGTCAACGTGTGTTTGGATATGTAGAGTTTTTCTGTAAGCATGAGAGTTTAAAGTGGCTTTTTCGACAAAATGGTTAATTGTTGCGTGCCTGAATGCACTAACTATTCGACAAAAACAAAAGATGTTAGCTATCACAAGATTCCTAAAGATTTACAAATTCAGAAAGCTTGGATTTCTCGTCTAAGACGAGCAAATCTGCCGCCATTRAAGAATTGCTATGTATGTAGCGAGCACTTCGAGGATGGTTGCTTCGAATCCGACCTTATGGAGCAACTAACAGGCGAAAAAAGAAAAAGGAGGTTAAAGGCTGATGCAATTCCAAGTATTTTTAACTTTTCAACCATCCCTAGTAAAAGAAGAGCTACGACAGAAAACCGTATA